AGTTATCAAGCACGTAAAGTTTGGTTCAGATGTGAGCATGTACACTGAAGTTACAACAACTTCCTGTGTCATGGCGAAGACTTGATCTCTGACGCCACGCCACGGACACACCCATTGACGAAAACTCGCAAATAGCACAACTTTTCATCTTCAATGCCTTTAGAAGGCACAGCACAAATTTGAAGTCGGTCGGACTAAATCCCTAGGAGGAGTTCGTTAAAGTACGAAGTGTGTAAATCATCCAAAATTGACGTAAATTCAAAATGGCCTACTTCCTGTTGATTTTAGGGCATCGCTCCAAGAGGCTTTTTTGTGCGTCTGGACAAGATACACGTACCACAGAAAATGCGTGCACGTAGGTAAAACATGCGGCGGGGGCTGCTTCGTTAAAAGTCACTTCCTGTTGCCAGCAGGTGGCGCTATGACTGTCTGGAATGTCAGCATGTACATGTGTTCAGGGGGGACTCTCATCCTACATGTACAGTTTTGGTGCAGATGTGAGCATGTACACTGAAGTTACGACAACTTCCGTGTCATGGCGAAGAGTTGATCTTTGACGCCACGCCACGGACACGCCATTGACGAAAACTTGCAATAGCACAACTTTTCATCTTCAATGCCTTTAGAAGGCACAGCAGAAATTTGAGGTCGGTCGGACTAAATCCCTAGGAGGAGTTCGTTAAAATACGAAGTGTATAAATCATCCAAAATTTGACGTAAAATTCAAAATGGCCGACTTCCTGTTGGGTTTAGGCTATGGCTCCAAGAGACTTTTTTGTGCGTCTGGACAAGATACACGTACCACAGAAAATTCGTGCACGTAGGTGAAACGTGCGGCGGGGGCTGCTTCGTTAAAAGTCATTCCTGTTGCCAGGTGGCGCTATGACTGTGGGTGAATGTCAGCATGTACATATGTTCAGGGGGGACTCTCATCCTACATGTACAGTTTGGTCCAGATGTGAGCATGTACACTGAAGCTACGACAACTTCCGTGTCATGGCGAAGAGTGATCTTTGACGCCACGCCACGGACACGCCCATTGACGAAAACTTGCAAATAGCACAACTTTTCATCTTCAATGCCTTTAGAAGGCACAGCACAAATTTGAGGTCGGTCGGCCTAAATCCCTAGGAGGAGTTAAAATTCAAAATGGCCGACTTCATACAGAATTGAATACGAGTGCACTCCAGATTTAGCTGCAGCCAGCTGACCGTGTGCTTCTCCCTATACTGCAGTTCTGTGTCCATGCATGCAGCAAACTGAAAGCACTGTCTGTCGGGTCTTCTACGTGAAAAGGAAGGAAGACATTGCTGGTAGTATTGTCTTCAGAGTTGTTAAACACCTCAGCGCACTGAAGGAAGTCATCTGACTGTGTGAGGGGCAAGATCGTTGATGTCTGCAGGCAGAGTAGGAGCTCTCCTGTCTGACTGGTCCACCAATAGCAGAGAAGATGACCCCTTGAGACACAGCCCCTCCTCATTTGCATAATGAGGCAGAAATGCATACAAAAATTTAAAAAAGACAGGCAGAAATAAATACCATGGGTGAAAAAAATAAGGTAAATAAATACAAAGGAAGAATAAAACAGACAAAAATATTAAAACACACACATAAAAAATACATTAAAAAAATTAGTAATAAATAAAGTTGAATAAACAAATAAGGTAATTATAACAAAGGTGAATAAGTAAAGGCACTAATTAAAATATACATTATGTCTCCTTGTATAATTTAATTACTACCTACATTTATTTATTTACTTATTTTTGTGTATTTAATTGGATGCTTATTATTTATTGAGCATTTATTTATTTCTGTATTTATTTCTGGCTGTGTCAGGATCGGTCCTCCATAACGGGGTGGGAGAGTTATCAAGCACGTAAAGTTTGGTTAAGATGTGAGCATGTACACTGAAGTTACGACAACTTCCGTGTCATGGCGAAGACTTGATCTGACGCCACGCCACGGACACGCCCATTGACGAAAACTGCAAATAGCACAACTTTTCATCTTCAATGCCTTTAGAAGGCACAGCACAAATTGAGGTCGGTCGGACTAAATCCCTAGGAGGAGTTCGTTAAGTACGAAGTGTGTAAATCATCCAAAATTTGACATAAAATTCAAAATGGCCGACTTCCTGTTGGGTTTAGGCTATGGCTCCAAGAGATTTTTTGTGCGTCTGGACAAGATACACGTACCACAGAAAATTCGTGCACGTAGGTGAAACGTGCGGCGCGGGGCTGCTTCGTTAAAGGTCACTTTCTATTGCCAGCAGGTGGCGCTATGACTGTGGGTGAATGTCGGCATGTACATGTGTTCAGGGCGGGACTCTCATCCTAGATGTACAGTTTGGTCCAGATGTGAGCATGTACACTGAAGTTACAACAACTTCCTGTTCATGGCGAATCATCGACGCCACGGACACGCCCATTGACGAAAACTCGCAAATAGCACAACTTTCATCGTCAATGCCTTTAGAAGGCACAGCAGAAATTTGACGTCGATCCGACTAAATCCCTAGGAGGAGTTCGTTAAAGTACGAAGTGTGTAAATCATCCAAAAATGGCCGTAAAATTCAAAATGGCCGACTTCCTGTTGACTTTAGGCTATGGGTTCTTGAGGCTTTTTTGTGCGTCTTGATATGATACAGAAAATTTCGTACATGTAGGTTGAACGTGAACGAGGGGCTAATTTTTTCCAATTTTCTAGGTGGCGCTAGCGAGTCATTTTGCAACGCCCATGTGCGAAACTTGTAGAATACGAAATTTTTCACCGGTTCTGACATGTTTGCAAATTTTGGTGAGTTTTCGAGAATGTTTAGGCCATGTCAGTTGAGCCTACTTTGCAGAAAAAATAAAAAAAATAAATAAAAAAAAAATAATCCGAGCAAATTCAATAGGGACCTCACACGGTCGTGCTCGGGCCCTAATAATCCGAGCAAATTCAATAGGGACCTCGCATGGTCGTGCTCGGGCCCTAATTACTGTTTGTGGATTTGGTGTAAGAATGGCTGTGGATGAACTGGAGTGCACATCCTGACAGCACATTCAGTTCAGCAGCTATTGTCTCTTGAGTATCTGGTAACAGCCTTAAATTATTTATTTTTTATTACTATTTATTTGTAATATTTAGTATTAGAGGTGGTGATACCCTAACAAAGCCTCTTTCTCTCCCTCCCCACCTGAAGCTGTCCAGGTAGCTGACAAGGTTTTTATGATGTATCACACCCAAATCTGCAGGTCTGATCTGACCATGGAATAAGGCTAAAAAAATCAACATTAATGGTTTTACAAAAAGATTAAAGTTAATGTGGAATCAGCATCACACAAAAACAAAAGCTACATACCTGAGTGAGCGGATGAATGGTAAAGCCTCTAAGAGAGACTCGCACAGACTTTGGCAGGCAGGAGTTTTCCTGTCCCAGTGGAGGCAGACATTAAGCTGCGTAGTGATCTTCTGCATGACTTTTACTGCTCTTTCAAACAGCCGTCTTTTACCCTCAACTGGAAGGTGCAATTGATTTCCATCCAGGCTGAGTAAGCTGGTGTGGTCCATCTGCCATCTGTCCTCACTGAGAAGGAAAATCTCCCACAGCTGCCGTGGCAGAGGGCCACACCTGTAATTTAGGAAAAATCAGAGACAATTTAAAGAGTAATAGAGTAGAGTGACCAGTAAAGTTTAATTAAATAAAGTCTGTTTAAGTAAAGAAGCTACAGCTGAAGTAACATACTTTATTTTCTCTGATATTTTCCATACATCTTTTACACTTATCCTGTTCAGGCTCAAACTATTTTGTCATCCTCGTCACCTCTTGAATCAATAAACAGGCACAAAGCTAAACTACTACTTAATTAGATATGTAGTGACCTAAACAGTCATTTGAGACTTTCAACACACGCTCACACATACCACTGGACATTTTGAAGGCATCCTAATAGTTGTCTCATTCCTTGCTCTGACACCATGACGTCCTCCAGGTTCAGACTTATTTTCCTCTCCTTCGACTGAGTGACCACGTAGGCCACAGCAGAGCAAAGGTAAAACTTGAGACTCTCTCCACTGAGATCAAGATGGTAGTCCAGCTTCTTCAGAAAGCAGATACATGCTTCAGGACACTGGGACTCATAGAAGCACTGACATAAGAACAGTATGTCCACATCAAGCCCACTGTCCTCGCTATCACCTATGTCTTTCTTACTGAGAGGAGGGGAAAATGTGGTTATCAGTTCCTCGAAGAACCAGTCAGACGTGTTCTTGAGCTGCTGAGCTGGAGTCAGATGCTTCATCAAACTAGGGCTCTTGTCAGTCAGCAGTCGACACATGAAAGGGATCAGATGTTTCATGTGTTTCTTCTCCTCAGTGAGGCACTGCTGAAAAACATCCCTGATCTTATCTGGATTCTTCAGCAGCCACAGTGCTGCAAAAAACTCCTGCATTGTGTAATGGAGAAATGCATGTGTGGTGATTGTCTCAGTGGGGGCCACTTTGATAAGAGGTTTTCAGGAAGGAGAGGACGCAGCTGTCTTCACAGGGCAGTTCTGTCAAGTTCACAGTTTTTTCTACAGTTGCTTTAAAAGCAAACTCGGCCAGAGACAGAATTTCTTCACTCTTATTGTTGATGAAGGAATTTAGATCTTTGGTTTTTGTTTTCTTGCTGATTGTTTGAAGGCAACGACGAACAATATTGATGTAGATTTCAGTTACAGTGCATGGCTGTGGAGAGTCTTCTGGTGTCTCTGATGAAAAGCCGAGAGCCACCATCAGTGCATACATTGGGACATAGCAAAGAGTTAACAACTCCAGGTTGCTCAAAACCTTCTCCTGTTCTTCTCCTAGTGTTGCAGATAAATATTTTTTTATGGTCTGCTCACTAAAGCCTTTCACTTCCACTCTGAGGAAGTCCCCAGAAAGGAAGTCTTCTTCATCATCTGGTCTGCATGTAATGATGACCTTGGCATCAGGTAGTAGGTCCTTCTCTACGAGTCTCTTCACCACTGATGAAGAGAGATCTGTGATTCCATCAAAAATTAGTGTAACGTTGCCAGAGTTCTTCTTTATGTCCTGTAAGACCTCTTCTTTGCCTTCATCTGGCTCACTGAACACAATGAAAAGAAGATCCTCCAAGCTCTTGGTCTTTCTGATGTGGGGTGTTGCTCTCATGTCAAAGTAGAACATGTAGTCGAGCTCCTTGTTGTCTCTTTCTGCCCAAAGTTTCAACATTTCGTGAGTGAGTGCTGTCTTTCCAATTCCAGGCTTACCAACCAAGAGGATGTTTTTATCTGTCTTCAGCAGCTCACTGGGGGAAATGTCTAGTCTGTCCTCAGGGATGTATGTCCTCAGCTTTTTAGGGCGACTCATCTTGCTCTTAAATGTCTTTATTTTAGATGGAGAAACACTTCCTTGTGTGTCTAACACAAGGTCAGTGTACGACAGATCAGGCTTGTTGTTTCCTTCAAACTGATTTTTGTTTGCCTTCCAAAAGTAATTTGATATTTTTTGTGCTTTTGACTTTAACTTCGCCTGATATCTGAGGCACGGCCCTGAGCCTAAAATAAAAACAACAGGGAGGAAATAAATATACTGTAAATTAACTGCTGTGCCCTCACACTAAATCACAGATACATATTTATACAGACACATTAAAGTGCATTATATAAAATCAGCACATCAAAGATAATAAAACTGTGATATGCTATCAATCAGAATACAAAATACCTTGTAAGTAGTTTATATCCATCTGTGTGTCGTCCTTGAAAGAAAAGCAGCTGATCCAGTGGTGCAGGTCAAACTTCCTGGTCTCAGTAGAAGCTGAACTCTTTGTCTCAGGGAGAAGGGACGTCCTCCCTAAGGTCCTCTTCCTCGTCACGTCAATAATCCTGAGGAACACTTGGCACGCTGCTTCGCCCTTCTTAGTGACTGAGTCCAGTATTCTCCTGATTTTATCACAGTCATCTCTCTATGCCTGTATTTTGCTGACCTTTTCATCACTGAAAACTATTTGCTGGTGCAAGTTCTCCACAACCACTGAGAGATTATTTAAATCTCTCACAAGGTGGACTCGAACACTCTTCCCGTAATCTAAGGCAGACTGTGTTGTACAAGCCATGTGTCCTTGCTTCTGTTTGTTCTGCACACAGATCCAACTTCAATGATCTGGAGAACAAAACACCAGGTTAATAAACTGTCTAATATATTTCATGATGTCTAAACTTCGTGCAGCTGATGCAACACTGTATCTATTTTACTGTATCTACATTGCACATCCTAGTTTAAACACAGCTGTAATCTTGCAACTACAAACAGGCCCTGTCATGTAGTGTGTAGTGAGATTCAGTCTCTGCATTTAACCCATCCCCCAAGGGTGCAGTGCCCACTCTGCAATGTCCGGGGGGAAACCCACACAGAGAAGAACATCCAAACCTTCCCGAGATCTGGTCCTTTAAAGTCTGATATTTCCAGATCTGTCTCCACACTATATGTATACTGTCTGCAGATCAGGAAAAAGGGCAGCTCATCAGAATTAGTTCAATCACCTCTGAGTATGTTGAACCTGATGGAAGGTAAATAAAGATCCATTTTAATCCAGTGGCGCTAGAAATGTGTGCCAGTGCGGACAATGACATATTAAAAAAGAGGAGTGGGGAACGATCAATAAGTTAACAATATTAAATAAAATTCAGCGTTTTCGCAGATTCGTGCTAATTCAGCATTAACCAGACTTGAATTTCCTTAATAAATGATAAAAGTGCTGGTATTTTCTATATTACATTCAGTTTTTAAACATGTTTATTCTGCTGTAACCTGACAGACAAAATGCCGGTAGCAATAACTGAACTGATGAAAATATGTATCAAACAGATACGACACAGTTGGGCTTTGCAATTAATCGAATTTTTATCACGATTTTGACTTCCAACGATCATAAAAACAAGTTAATCAAAATAAAACAAAAAATTGTGCCGCATCAAAATGTCTCTGGCTGCATGCTATTTTGCATTGACACTCGTTTTGTCTTGAGTTATAAATTCAGTGCGCCCTTTCCATTACAGCGGTGGCTCCCACCCATTCCTAAAAGCCCAAACTCACTTTCATCCAGGCTGTGATGTTTAATTCAGTTTCAGCTGAATAACAGGGATTATAAAAACTGCTACAAGCAAACACATCCCAACTTCAAGGCTTTTAGTTAAAGAATAAAGATTTCGAGAGATAGCGACATACAGAGGGATTTACAGTGATTACAGTGCGATTTCAGTGATTGTTCAGCTAGATATTAGTAGCCTACATTAATTGATGAGAGACAGCGATTTGGGACAGATATACAATGCCTATAAAAAGTATTCAGATGTATTCACCCTTTCTTTTATACATGAAATCATGGTCAATATAATTTGGCTTTTTTGACAAGAATATGCAAAAAAGCCTCTTTAATATCAAAGTCAATTTTTTCAAATTTTACAAATTTTTACAAACTAATGTCAATTAATTAAAATTATATATGATATGGCTACTAAACCTGAAGGGGGTGAATATTTTTGCAGTCTTCTTTACCTTACATATTTTTAAATAATTGACAATTTGTAAAAATCCGTTTTCACTTTGATATTAAAGAGGGTTTTTTGCTAATTCTTGTCAAAAAAGCCAAATTATTCATGATTTCATGTAGAAAAGAAACAAAAGGGTGAAAGGGTGAATACTTTTTATAGGCACTGTAGTAGGCCTAACATATTAATTAGTGACATATAGGCCTATCCTAGTGATAAAGATGGTTATAGCGACAGATAGCTCTAAACAGGCTAGGTGTGTGTGTGTGTGTGTGTGTGTGTGTGTGTGTGTGTGGCATGACGATAAATTTCTTTGCACAGATCGTATCACTCCACGACAAAGTAACATTAGAAAGTAACTTTAGATTACTGGCTGGCTGGAAACTAATGGAGAGGGAACTCCAAAGGTAAACTTTGACCTCCTGGGAGGCCTTACCATGGAGGAGTGGCTTGAACAGACTTCTTCAGGAAAAAAAGACACCTGTGAGACATGCGGAGCCAACTATAGAGAAGATCGACCAACTCGAAAAGAACCGGAATGAACAGAACACTGAGAAGCAAACAAAGTGGGCAGTGAGATGCTTTGAAGAGTGGTGTAAGGATAAAGGTGTAGCAATAGACTTTCCAACCACATCAAAGGACAGTTTCAATTACATTTTACGAGTAAACAGTAAAGGCGAACTTTATGGCCTAAGCAGCTACATTGGTCTCCGTGCTGGCATCAACCGTTACATTAATGACCCACCACTCAGTCTGTCCTGGTGCCAGAGATAGAGTTTACAACGAGCAGCAATAGTTTCACAGGTGTTACCCATAAATGATAACATTAACTTGGATTTTGTGTTTTCTCTTTTCTTTATTCCACTTGTGCAGAACTCACAATGTACACATAAGTGTGTGCGCGCGGTCAAACTGTAAATACAAATAATTCACCTTTAGTTTCCAGTAATGTATCACTTTCCCAAATAAGTTTTCTACAACATAACATCAGCTTAGATGATAAACATTAAAGTATATATACACTTATAAATCAAAGATATTCCGTACAATGCAAATATCACACGTGGTAGACTATGTAGGCATTAAACATTATCACATGTGTGTAATAAAACTATCAATACAGATTTCTAAACAGTCGCTGTATTACAAACACCTATTAAACCTTGTAAATGCTACACATATTGCATATATGTTTAAATAAGCAATTTAAACTAAAATGTCAATCCAAACTAACAAACTAATAGCATTAGGCGTTTAGGCGCTAATCGCGAATGGCGATCTACATAGTGCTTTTATCAATATACTTATAACAACAACATGTGACTTACCACGCTGGGAACATATAGTTCAGATTAAGTGTTTAGCTGTAATTGTTGTAGAACATAAGAAAGTCTGCAAATGAGCATCAACGTTGCTTTCTCGGTCAGTTCGGTTCGGTTCAGTTTTTTTTTTTTTTTTTTTTACAGCCTCTTCCTACGCGATCCCATGAGCCCACAGAATCAACGTCCTTAAAGGGGCAGCACCCTACAACAGGTGTTGTGATAACACTGAGAAGACTCGATACTACGGTCCATCCCACATCAATATCAGAAGATGACTTAAAAGCCATCAAGACAGTACTGTATCCCGAGACTTCGGAGGGGCCTTGGTGACCTTCTCTGTCCTGTGTCATCTCTGGAGAAATACATCTCCGACCTTCCTCTGGATGCACCGGCTTTTTATCTTCACCCAAGAAGAAATGTTGTCTGCTCTGTTGACGATGTTTGGTATGTAAAATAACAGTCGGGCTTCTTTGTAGGTTATTGTTAGATTAAGACATCATCTAAAAATTTATTTGGTGTTTTTCCAGGTACACTCTTGAGCCAATGGGCGTCAATCGGCAACAATGTTGCCAAGAATATGCAAGCTAGTAGGGACACGGCAAAGATACACAAACCACTGCCTCCGTAGTACCACAATTCAAGGTCTTGAAACGAGAGAGATTATGGCTTATTATGGTTAGTGGACACAAATGCGAAGCCTCTCTCCAGAGCTATTGGCAACCGAAACTTGGGGACCGGAGAAAGTGGAGTAAGATCCTCGCTGCAGCACACACATCTCCACCTCAAAAAAAATGCAAGCCAAGTAAAAGTTGCCACGTTTTTAGTGGCTGCACAATACCAAACGACCCCACTGAGGTTAAATAGCTGAGTTTCCCTGCCAGTCAGTCAGAACTGAAGAAGTCCTTTGGATGAGGGACGAAACGTCTTCCAGTATCTTCAACCAAGTCCAGTTGCCCTTGACTTTAACATTCGTTGGTTCACTTTTTATAATTAATCTGGAATATATCAGAGATTCATTTTTTGAATTAAATTGTTAGAAAATTAATTTCACCACAATATTCTATTTTTTTTTTAGACTCATCTGTATTTGCTTTATATATTTCATCACTTGAAGAATTTATTACACATTTTCCTCCCAGAGTCTCACTGTGGATAAGATGTCCCACCTGGTGCAAAAGATATGGTTTATGGTTCACATTGTAATAAATTCTATATATATATTAACACTCCCTATATTTACTACTTACTGAAAAGCTAATCCTATACCACAGGTAAAACATGAAACATTAAAACTGAAGTATAGTATAAGTTAAAAAGTGAAAATACTCCCAAACATGTTTCACATGAAATGTTGAAAAGTAATTATGCAGTGTATTTCTGTGTGTGCAGGAGTATTTTTACTTTCTACCTTATACTTTAAGATAAATAAGGAGCCATACACCCAGTACCCATAGACTGTATAACAGAGCCGGAAGTTTCTGAAGAGTGCCTTGTTTGCTGCTCTGATATAAGTCTAGTTTAAACACAGAAGAATGTGGGCACATCCAAACCATCCTGTGGGTAGGTGCTGAAACCAAGAATGATCTGCACAGAGTAATTATGAATTCCACTAGGTGGTTTTTATTGTGACCTTGCAAAATCTGAGGTCTCAGAGCTGACTGAATGCACATTGTACATGCACATGTAGTAAATCGGTGCATCTATACCACACAAGACCTTCTCAGGTCACAATAAATGACACCTCCTACAGGGCTTCAAAACTATTCAGCGTGTAGATAATTATTTGTTTTTCACTACAGAGTAACTTCTCAGTCAATGTCACATTTGTCTCTTAAAGAAATGTCAGTAAAACAGTGTATAACATCAACCTTTCATTTTTGACTTTCAACTAACATATGTAAGTTGTTAGCCTATAAATACCATCTTAATATTTTCATTTACAGTTGTTAATCATAATATATTATTGTGTTTAGATCACACTATTTACAATTAACATAGGAAACTGATGATGAATGAAGAATGTGATTTTATTATGTATAATTAGTCTGATACACCTTATATCAAAGTCTTCCTTATACAAAAGTAATAAATTAAACTCTTGTCTTGCATTCATGAAAACATCAATATTAAAAGGTTACAAATGTGAAAGTAGTTTTGTATGACTTGAAATGTGTTGAGTTATTATAATGATAGAATCTGTTGATAAGAACCCAGTGTCATAATTTCACGTACGTTGTGTTCAGGTGTTGTGAATAAAAAGAAAAGCAGGAGCTGAAGAGCTGGAAGCTGTAACTGTTCTCTCCTGAAGAGCTGGACACAGCTAATCACATCTGGAGGGTTCTGCAATCAGCTCCTCTGGCACCTGTAAAGACAACAATGGGTAGACAGTTAAGCAGCTTCTTCCAAAGAGCCATTTAGCTACTGAACTCTGAGATCGCCTCAGCATGATAACCTCTCTCGCATGTGACAGTAATTAGGGGTGGCAATGTGAAATACACTGTTTCCTAATATGTGCAATATACGGTTTTCTGCTGGTTTTCACTGTGCAATAATACCTACTCAAGTCCATTTCTTATAAGGTATATTGTTTTATATTTCTTATTGAACCTTTTTAGGCAAATTCTAATCCACCAAATATACTCAGAGGCGGCTCTCACACTCCTAATTTCTCGCCTTAACTAAACCATCACCCTCGTTATAACCCAGCTACCTGTCTGCAGGCATAATGCTCATATACTGACAAAAAAGGTGGATGCAAATCTCTGCAGGTAGCCTACAACAGCTGTTCTGCCAAATAATGCGTCCACCTCTTAAGCTCTTTATCAGAAACGTCGCTGATCAAACACAGTTATCACCTCAGATTGTTTGCTGAATCTCAAGGAATGCTACATCTACTGAGTGTAATAAATTATTGATGACTCTAAACAGCCTTTAATATGTACTTAGAATCAATCATCCACACTGACAAACCCCATAAAGAATAGTATAATGTTATCGTTTTTAAACCGTAATGTTACACTCGGAGGTGCACGGTGTTATGCCGAGTTTTGCCTGCCTGCCGAGAATTGCATGCACCTCCAAATGCTGCTTTTAAACGCTATAATATTCTTTGTGGGGTCCATCAATGGTGATAAATGATTCTAAGTATATATTTTATGAACGTTTAGAGTCTTTAATATTTCAAAAGCCTACACTTAGGCCTAGTAGAAGTACCATTGACATTCAGTAAATATGTGATATATCCGCCGTTTGATCAATGAGCACAGCAAAGCGTCTGAGAAGGACCCAAAGAGGTGGATGCATAATTCGGCAGATCAAATTTTGTAGGCTACCCGCAGAGATTTGCATCCACCTCTTTTCTCAGCATAAAGAACCGTTATCACCCGTGAGGTGCATGCAATTCTCGGCAGGCAGGCAGAATTTGGCACAACACCTGCTCTCAGCAGGTGTGACAGTTTCAGGCAGAACTCCGCAGCCGCTCCCTCCTCGGCTCTCTGCCTTTAAAACCCTTCATGTCCATCAGAATCAGGTGCAGCCACTTATAATAGGATCTGACTAGTATCTAACTGAACAGTGATTCAGTTTCAAGATGTAGTTAAAGGTTGGTGATGGCTCAACGAATAAGATGCCTGCCTTTGGTGTGAGAGACCCAGGTTCAATCTCCCACTTTGACCCATCCACCACTGTGTCCCTGAGCAACCCCTAGTTGCTCCAAAGGCGTGCGACCTCTGACAATTGTAAGTCGCTTTGGATAAAAGCTAAATGAATAAATGTAAGTCTCACAACGCCCGTTAGTAATATTTAACGTTAACGTCAGCTAACTGAGAGCTGAGCCTTTACAACTTCACACAGACGCCTTTTCTTCAAAGCATTATCACCCTAATGTCTAACACTAAGGTTAATCTAATGCATTTTGGCTTCTCTCCTCTTGCTGACTTGTCTTTGACTCCTTAAAAGCTGCGGTTAGAACACACTAACTCCCGTTAACTTAGCATCGTTAGCAGCTTGGGGCTGCTCGTATCTGGCTAACTGGCGTAACGAGCTAACGTTAAGCTAACAAGCTAAATGCCGACAGCGATTCATGTTAAATGTTAACACATAAATAAAATACAGGAATTTCACTCACCAAGTAGAACACGAATTTCCTGGAGGTTCTCTCTCCAATAAACCGCACAGCCTGCCATTATTCATCCGGAATCTGCTGAGCCGCCGCCGCCGCCTTCTTCTTCTTCTTCTTCTTGTTTCCGGCAGACTAGACGCATCTGTGGCGTATTGCTGCCCTCCTCTGTTCGCTATTCACATCTCAACGCTAATTGCCTATATCCTTTTGTATAAACCAGTTTTATGTAGGTATTCGATCACTTTCTTCATTTTGTTCCAACTACTATGACGACAGTATTTTTCTACAAAGAACTAATACATGCTTCACTGTTTCCTTGTCTCCACATTCACATTTTCCATCAGGGTGTTTACCAATCAGAGCCAGCCCACTCCTCAGCCCACAGTGCCCAAATCTCAGTCTGGACAGAACTACTGCATCTCTTCTCTTACCTCTAAAAGCACATCTTCCTTTCTCTACAGTTCTTTGTACTGAATAATATGTTCTCGCCTTCCTTTCGTTTCCCCATGATTTTTGCCACATTTCTTTCACTGACCTATTTATTATTTCTGTGTAATCCGGTAACCCATATTGTAAATTAATTTGAACTCTTTCCTCCAGCACCGCCTTCTTTGCCACCAGCTGCTTCCTCATTATCCTCCACACCCATGTGGACCGGTACCCACACAAACCCCACCTCATACCCTGCTTTGTGAATTCTGTACAACACCTACATAATTTCCACAAGTAAATCGGGTCTAGATTTCATTCATCGTATCTTTAATTGTATTCAGAGTTGCTACTGAGTCGCTACATATAACTGAATATTCCTGATTATTATCTTCGACCCACTTTAATGGCCATAGGACTGCCACCAGCTCGCAACAGGTCATATTTAATGTACGTCGCTTTAAAATGACAGCTCCGAGGAAAGGACATTTCATGCACTCGGTACGAACCGCTGCGACGGGAGGCTACTTGACGTTAGCTAAACAATCAACACTTATCAGTTTTGGTCTGATACGTTTGAAAAAGGTTTGGAGATACGCAAAGCCGACACAGGAGAGGAGATCAGTTGGTGTTCTCTGCTGTAAGGTCCTTGTTTTTTTTCCCCATTTTCTTTTATTAGCAGTATAAGCAATAATAATATTAGATTATTGTTGGAAAAGGAGGGGGTATTGGAGGCCAATGGCTTCAGGGAGTGGAGGGGATGAAGGTGGTGGTGGGTGGCATACGGTGGTTAAGGAAAAAGGGGGCTCTAAGAGGGAGGCATCGAGGGAAAGACCTGAAATGTCAGGAAATGAAGGAAGTAAAGTTAGGAGAACTGGAAATTCTGAAGAGTTAGTTGTGCTGTTTAAAGTCAAGGGAGCTAATCAAGGAGATGCAGGATTTAGGGCAATTAACCCATTAAAGGTAACTAATGCTTTGGAGAGTCAGATAGGCAAGGATTTTCCGGCCAAGATATTATATAATGGAATGTTAAGAGTTTGTTGCAAAAATAGGAAACAGTATGATGATGCTAGAGGTGTTGGGAAATTGGTGGTTAAGGTGGAGACTTTGGTCCCTAGAGGAAGCAATCAGGGAGTCAAGGGAGTAGTATATGGAATGTTTGCTGGCTTGTCTGAGAAGGAAATCTTAGAAAATGTTAAGGGGGCCCAAGTAACTGATGTGGTAAGATTTAAACGTAGAGATGGAGCTGGGGATCCGCCCATTTTGTTAACGTTTAAAGATGGTGTACTACCACAGAGAGTGTTGCTAGGGAGTATGGTGTATCAAGTTAGGGAGTACATTAAACCACCCTTGCGCTGCTATAATTGTCAGAAGTTTGGACATGTTGCTGGATCATGTCGGGGCAAAAGAAAGTGTGCAAAGTGTGGTGGAGATCATTTCATACAAAATTGTAAGGCAGAGACTCCTAAGTGCCCTAACTGTGATGGGGATCATGCAGCAGGGTTTTATGGTTGTGAGCACTTTGTCCGAGCTAGGCGGGTGCAGGTTGTGAAGGATCAGAACAAAGTAACATATGCAGAGGCGGTTCAAAGAGTGACTAGAGAAAGCGGAAATGGAAGCTCTGGGGAAAGGCCGGTGCTAGGATGCAAGGTCTCTGTGCCAAATCTACCACCTGCATCTTCATCTGACATGCTAATTTTTAGTAAGGAGTCATTTTTGTCTTTTGTTTCTGATGTGTTGGTGGGAACTAAGAATGCAACTAACCGGTCAGATGTCATTAGGTTAGAGGTGGGTGCAGCCGAAAGATACCTGAGTAAAAAGCAGCTGCCAGAAAAGTTGCATCAATACATGATGGAGAGTCAGTGTATAGACAGATCACAGTTGTTGAAGACTAGCAGTATGGAGGACGTTAGTGAGGTGAATGATGAGGACCCTCATTAATGTTTTAATGTGGTATATTCTTCTTCAATGGAATGCCCGGAGTCTGATTGGAAATGGTCAGGAGTTAAAAAGGTTTGTAGATAATTTTAAAGAAGCACCAGATTTGATATGTATCCAAGAGACATGGCTAAAGCCCTGTCTAGATTTTGTAATTCCGGGTTATGAATGTTTGAGATTAGATAGGCCTGATAGATCAGGCGGGTGTTGTGCAACCTTTGTTAAGACTGGGGTACAATATAGAAAAGTTGACATTAACTCTGATACTGAGTGTTTGGCTGTGGAGGTTTGGAGCAGTCATAGCTCTATTACTGTGATAAATTATTATAACCCTTGTCAAACTTTGGTATTATTAGACTTTGATGAGATAATGGAGAAGGTAAGGTGTCCTGTTATATGGATTGGGGATTTTAATGCGCACAATCCAATATGGGGGAGTGACCACAGGGATAAAAATGGTGCTATAGTAGAAGATTTTTTAGACAAATATGAGTTGGTAGTGTTAAATGATGGAAGGCCGACTAGGTATAAAAAATGGTGAGAAATACCTGCAGCCATATAGACTTATCAATTGCATCATCAAATTTAGCTAGAATTTGTGAAGGTGATGTTATAGATTCCTATACACTGGGTAGTGACCAATATCCAATTTTATGCAGGTTTGGTAGAGAGCTGAGAAGAGAAGTGGAAAAGAGTGTCCCTAGATATAATTTTTCTCAGGCCAAGTGGGATAAATACCGGGAGAAAGCTCAAAGCTTAGTAGGAGATGTTGATAGTGAGGGTTCTGTAGATAACTGGAATACTTCAATTAGCCTCATGATGCATGAGGCTGCTTGCTATACCATTCCTGTGAAGCAGGAACCTAGGTCACGTATGCTGGTTCCTTGGTGGAACAAAGAATGTGATGAAGCTGTAAGGAGTAGGAATAAAGCATATAGAAGATTAAGAAAATATCCAATGTTGGTTAATGCAATGGAGTACAAGCGTCTAAGGGCAGTAGCAAGACGAGTTATAAAGGATGCAAAAAGAAACAGTTGGAGGAAGTTTTGTGGTACGTTAGGTCCTGAGACTCCAGTAAGGCATTTGTGGTCAGCAGTACGTAGAATGTCAGGGGTATATAAAAAAAGATTAATACCAGTGTTACAGAAGGGAGAGGTGGTAGAAGTTTCCAATAAAGAAAAAGCAGACATGTTTGTTGAGAGTTTTCAAGCTGTACATAGATCAGAGATAATGGGGGTTGAGAGGCGTAGGAAGAGGGATGAATTGATTGAAGTTAATCAGTGGAAGCTGGAGAGGAGTTTAGAAAATGAAAATCCTATTAATCTGTTTTTTTCTTTAAAAGAGTTGAAGGAAGCAATTATGTCTGGGGCAAATACTACCCCAGGGAGAGATAGGCTATCTTATGAGTTGTTTAAATATCTAGATGATTTTGTACTTGAAGAAATCTTAGCTTTGTTTAATACTGTGTGGGCAGAGGGTTATTTGCCCAGGGAGTGGAAACATGCAGTTGTGGTCCCTATCTTGAAACCAGGGAAAGAGGCATCTGACCCTGGATCATACCGTCCTATAGCGCTCACAGCAGTGATCTGTAAGATTATGGAGAGGATGGTTACTAACAGATTAGTATATTTTTTAGAAACAAGAGGACACTATGTTGATGTACAGAATGGATTTAGGAATGGAAGGTCTACAATGGAATCAGTTGCAGTTTTAGATCAAGATATTAAAAGGGCATTTAGCAATAAGGAAATAGTAGTGAGTGTATTCCTGGATATTGAGAAGGCTTATGATTCTTTGTGGAAGGAGGGATTGATGATTAAAATTTTTGACTTGGGAGTTAGGGGACGAATGTTTAATTGGATAAAGGATTTTTTAATGAAAAGAACAATACAAGTAAAGGTTGGTAGTATTAATTCAAAGACTGTGGGCATAGAGAATGGAACCCCACAGGGAAGTGTAATTAGTCCAGTGTTATTTAATATAATGATCAATGATATCTTTGGTAAAGTAGAAAGAGGATTCGGGTTATCTTTATTTGCAGATGACGGGGCCATTTGGAAAAGAGGGCGTAATGTAGAGTTTGTTTTAAAACAGATTCAAAGAGTGTTAGTATCTGTAGAGGAACGGGGGAACACATGGGGCTTTAAAATCTCTGCTTCTAAGACTAAATATATAGTATTTGGATTTAAAAGAAAGTTACCTAATCTAGGGCTATATATGTATGGGTCTCCATTGGAGAAGGTAAAGGTTTTTAAATTTTTAGGTGTTTGGTTTGAAGAGCGTATGACTTGGGCTGTGCATGTAGATAAATGCAGGCAAGGGCTTTGAGGCAGAGAAGTCATTATCTGCTCTGATTCTACAGGTGCTCTAGAAAATTTGAAAGTAGGAAAATCTAAATCCCGACCTGACATTGTAAATGACATCTTGAATGTGGTTTTTAGAACTAGGTTTATTTGCAACATCAGTTTTTGCTGGGTTCCTGGGCACGTTGGGGTGAGGGGGAACGAACGAGTGGATAATATTGCAAAAGAGAGCTTAGGAAGAGAAGCAGATGTCCATGTATTATTAGGGAGAGTGGAATTGAGAGAAAGAATTAAAGAGGGCTTAATAAAAGAATGGCAGAGAGGGTGGGAAAACGAAATTAGAGGCAGACACTACCTTTCTATACAACCCAAAGTTAGGAAGAGATGTTTATGTAACATTTTGTCCCGCAGGGACTCAGTTAAAATGTGCAGATTGAGGTTGGGGCACTGTGGATTAAATTATTCTTTGTGCATTGTAGGGAAGCGTGTTTCTGGCTTGTGTGAATGTGGGAGTCTTGAGACAATAGGGCATGTTTTCCTGGAATGCAGAAAGAAATGTACTCGTTAATAAACTGTCAGGACTTGGAGTTAAGGCTTTTTCTGTTTTATCTTTGTTTGGGCACAGTGACGAGCATAAACTGATCTCCAAGGCAGTCCTTCAATTCTTGCATGACACAGGACTGTATGTAAGAATTTAGTTTAAACTTTGACCTGTGGAGGGCAGTAATACGCTCATAAGCGTCTACACTGCCGGAATCTTACAAGAAGAAGAAGAAGGACATTTCATTTCGTTAAATACCCTACTCCTCTCTCCTCGCGTCTCCTCCTCGAGCTCACATCTCGTGTGGGAGGGACTGAGATGCGCCTCGAGGAGTCGAGGAGGTGGAAATTTGGGGAAATCGAAAGGCCCCTGGATTAGTCAGTGTACCCATAACGGCGTAACTTCACGTTCTGTGTGAAAGTTTTCTGATACCAGAGAATTTAACACAGTAACCTTCAATAACACCGCGCAGAAACATTTTACAGCCTTTGAGTTTCTTCCCGTTTCCCAACAGAGCAGAGTGTAACAATAACTGAACAGTTGTGGAAACTTCAGACTTCCTGCTGCTCTCTGATATAAACTTCAGACGGAGGAAGTTCAGCGCGTACATAGATGTTGATACAGAGCCAGCATTAAAGAGTGAGTCTCACTAAAAGTCTAACGTTACAACATATTGTGTTTACTTACATGGAGCCCGGAGGTTTTGGGACTGATATCCAGCCATCCAGGTATTCAGGTTCCAGCGCAACAGCAGAAATTAGCCATTTATAACATGTTTGTGTTTCCGGACTCTGACCAACAACCAGCCCGAATAACAGTCCAATCTATCCGTTTCTTCCGATTAGCAAACTTTAACACCCTGTAGCCTTCTTCTTCTTTAGGGTTTAATGGCGGATGTCTCACCCTGTAGCCTTCTTCTTCTTTAGGGTTTAATGGCGGATGTCTCGCCCTGTAGCCTTCTTCTTCTTTAGGGTTTAATGGCGGATGTCTCACCCTGTAGCCTTCTTCTTCTTTAGGGTTTAATGGCGGATGTCTCACCCTGTAGCCTTCTTCTTCTTTAGGGTTTAATGGCGGATGTCTCACCCTGTAGCCTTCTTCTTCTTTAGGGTTTAATGGCGGATGTCTCGCCCTGTAGCCTTCTTCTTCTTTAGGGTTTAATGGCGGATGTCTCACCCTGTAGCCTTCTTCTTCTTTAGGGTTTAATGGCGGATGTCTCACCCTGTAGCCTTCTTCTTCTTTAGGGTTTAATGGCGGATGTCTCGCCCTGTAGCCTTCTTCTTCTTTAGGGTTTAATGGCGGATGTCTCACCCTGTAGCCTTCTTCTTCTTTAGGGTTTAATGGCGGATGTCTCACCCTGTAGCCTTCTTCTTCTTTAGGGTTTAATGGCGGATGTCTCACCCTGTAGCCTTCTTCTTCTTTAGGGTTTAATGGCGGATGTCTCACCCTGTAGCCTTCTTCTTCTTTAGGGTTTAATGGCGGATGTCTCACCCTGTAGCCTTCTTCTTCTTTAGGGTTTAATGGCGGATGTCTCGCCCTGTAGCCTTCTTCTTCTTTAGGGTTTAATGGCGGATGTCTCGCCCTGTAGCCTGTGAATTCTGACTCAGCCACGCGCCTTTGGGCGTTTCCTGGTTAAAGTTTAGTTTCACTTTCCATGAAGACGTAGCGCAGTTAGTTTTCTCCGTCTGAACCGCCAGATGAAGGTAATGTAACATGTTTTCCTCATTAATACAAGCTGTGGTTATCTTAGTTACAGTAGAAACAGCAGAAATCTGCCGCTCGATGCTTCATTTCTTTAAACTCACAGCTGAGTTTCACTGTGAACTCTGGACGAAGGAGGCGAAACAGCCGCCATTAAGTTACTGATGTCCGCCATGTTGTTATATTTGAGATGTAAACAGGGGAATAAGAGCAGAATTAAAGTTAGTTTCTCCTCAGGAGCTGTTGTTACTGTGTAGCTCCACTTTCTGATGAGTGAAGGCAGCTTTTCCTGCCTGAAGCAGCCTGTGGAGGAGGCGGAGACGAGCCGCTGCTCTCCCGCTGTCTGAGACTCTAACATCGGACAGCCGCTGGAGAACAGCTGCTAGTGTCGGTGAATGCTGTCAGGAGATTTACCTGCAGGACTCATGTGGACTCGGTCTGCAGGCAGGGAGGCTTAAACCTTTTATTGTCTAATAAAATAAATATAATATCCTGTAGCGGTTTTGGGGGTGAGGGGGCAGTGCCCCTGTAACACAGACCTTCGAAGTCCCAGCTGTTCAGCGGACATTGAGACAACCTCGCTGTTTAGTGTATGGACGTGGTGCAATAAAGACTTAGCGAGTAAAAAGCCAATTCTTTGCCAACACTCCTGTTTAATCAGCATGAACATGCAAAACACAATGTTTTCATCTGCTCAGTTTCTCATCCACCGCACCAATGTTTTGGATTTACACAAGCACAGCCCTAGTTCAGACAATGGCTTTATAAACAAGCTAAAATGAAAGCTCTGTGTCTTTAGTAACTGTTCAGCTTAGTTTGCCACTTACATTACAATATGACACATTATAAACTCAGCTGGTGGCTGAGACAAACCCTCCTCTCTACCAGCAGCAGCAGAGAGAGGAGGAGGACAGGAGTGACTGAGCTGTTCATTCTTTCTAAACTTCACTCAGTATGTTGATTTTCAGGAATATAATTTTATTTTACTGACATGTTAGATTTGTTTCCAGTAAGATATTCGTGACTTTGCTGTTGTAAATCATGTTGCTGCTCTAGAAACATTTCATTAATAATTTTTTTAAATAATATATGCAATTATTTAGTAATAAATAGGAACTGAACCAATAAGGATTATCAATACAAGTGTGTTAATAATATCCTAATGATCCCAACTCGTGAGAAAATGTCTGGCCCATCTCTGTGTCGTGGTTTTAAAATCCGGCCCAATCGAATCTGTAATTGAACATTCCTGGTCTGCTGTGATCATAGTAATATATCTTCCTTGTGACGAAATGTACATTAAACTGGTCTATAACTGCCACTGAACTGCGTCACTAGATGAGCTCTGAACTCTCCAAGAGTGTCGCGTCTTTATGTGGGGTTGAACTTAAATAAAACTGTTCATGTGTTTATAAAAACTACATGTCTGTTACCGGGAGTCAGCATGATGCATTCAATACACATGAGAACTTGCAGTGTTGAAGTCCCTTGTGCTGCATTTAGGGGACACAGTAGGAACCAGCTATAATATTTGGTCCAGAATGACTTTTTAACATTTGAATTACAAGATTTCAGAAAGCTGTTTGTTGTTGTTTTTTAATAATTTCCTGATAACTTCTCAGGAGTTATCGGGAAAAAAAGTTCACATCATGTTTCAAATCTGTGTGATGATTTGAGTTGATGTGCAGATGAATGATTTGTGTTTCCTCTCCAGGTGAAAGTGGATGTGAGTTGAGCAGCATGAGTCAGTGTGAGGACAGAGAGGAGGGAGTCCCTCCCTCTAAAAGGACTCTGTGTGGGGAACATGACAGCCAGACCAAAGCTCAGAGGTGAGATGAGGATCTCTAACTGTCCAGGACTCAAATCACTCCACCATCATTATTCACTCTCAAAGCTCTGTGTGTGTTGTGTTGAAGCCCAGAGCAGCAGCAGGGACCAGACTCTGCTGGACCTGGACCTGGACCTGAGCCCAGCTGTGTCTCCTTCAAGAGTGACTGGTCAATGGGACGCTATATTGATTTTAAAGGACAAAATCCCTGTGCTGGAAAGAGGTCTGCTGTTAATGATAGATATTCCTGTTTTTGCTGTTATTTATCCAGATATGTTTTATTAAACATGTATGTGTATTTTCAGCATCTTTCTTCTTTGCATACGTTTATCTGACAGACAGTAAGCAGCTCTCAGTATTGGCCAATCAGAGCTAAATGTAAATGTTAGAGTAGGGCGAATTTCCACCGAACGATGTCTGCATTGAAACATCGGGATGGACGATGGCATCGGGTACGCGCTCGCGCTTGTATTTTACAAGCACGGACCAGCTAACGTGCTGAATACAGGATGCAGATGTTAGTTTCGGTTGTTTGATAGGCTGCGTCATTAACAAGCCCACAAGCGCTGTGATAACGGATTACGGGTGGAAAAATACAGGGAAAAGACAAGTTCTGTGTCTTTTAGTGTTAGGGTTAGAGTTTATAAAACGTGCTGCTGATGGAGAAAGTGGAGTAGACGGGTGGGGTGGGAGACAGAGAGAGGCGGGGCACGCCGGTGTCTTTACCTGAGGTGTAGGCTTTTTGTGTATCTGAGTGTGGGGAGAAGATAATTCTGAGGAAGGTCCGAAGCATATTTAAAATTTATAATAATTATGTTCCTGGTGATTAAAACCTGCTGGTTTAATGTGAAAAATGTAGATTTTTTTTTGGCGGGGGGCGGGGTTTTACAATCACGATGCCTGTTCAGCCATCGCCGATCAGCCCAACCCTAGTTCATATCTCCCTCCTCATGTTGCTCACTGTTGATGTTTGTCCTGATTAGAACCAGTATTAAATGACAGGTCCACATGTTTTCCAGTCTGACCAGTTGTCCTTATAATGTCCGTGTTCTTCTAGAATGATGGTGAAGGTTAGATCCAGATTAGTATTGAATAACAGGTCCACATGTTTTCCAGTCTGTCCCTAAACAACACTGACATGCCCATAAGTCCACTGAAAGAGTTGTTGGTGGCTGTAATTGTTCCTCCTGAGCACACTGGCCTGAAGAGATCTCTTCCTGATGGGATTTCAAAGGAAGTGATGGAGGACAGACTCCACAGTCCTGGTTCTGTGTAAAAATTAAGCTGGCACAATATGAGTTAAATCTGTGTTGTGCGATAACATTATTCAATAATGCCATGGCGATATGACTTGCGATAAATACACAAATCTTGAAGTGTACATATTAGCTGCCTGTTTGTCTTTAACTTCAGAACAGCATGTTTATTAAATATTAAAAATAACTAAATGTTGTTTCTAGAGCTGTAAAGTTTACCACAACAAAGTCACTGTATATACTAAATAATATCTCACTGGAAACAAATCTGCAATGTCAATTAAATAAATCATATTCTTGACATCAAATTACTAAGTTAAGTTTAGAAAGAATGAAAAACCCAAATGTCAGTATCTGTCCTCCCTCTGCTGATTCACTGCCTGTAGGTTATGTTACAACTGGTAGAGCGGCTTGTCTCATCAAGCAGCTCAGTTAACAAGGATATGCCAAATTTTAATTTAAATTAGACAGCTTACATTTTAGCTTGTTTGTAACAATTCGCTATTCGCAGAATGGGCCCATTTAAAACCAGGGTTTCTGTACCCATCTATAAATAGTCCTTTTATTCCGAAAATTCCTCTTTGAATTTTGTACTAAATCCTTCACCTACCATTGTCTCTGACTCTCAACAGTCAGGATATTTGTTGTGAGTCGAGTAATGCAAACGTTAGAATACAGGCCAACAGTGCTGCTGCTGATGGACTAACAGTTAAGTTTTTTATCTGTCAACAGTATGTGTAATGTGAATAATCAGCTCAGAAATCATAACATTTGGTTTAGTTTGGTCCAATATTTTATGGGGAAATAAAGTGATGATACTCAGACATTGAGCTTCATGTTTTATTGAACTTTGATCTTTTCTTGTTGATAGCTGCTAGTTTCTCCAGCAGGTTCTGTTTCTGAAGACTAAAAAATGAATTTCCATCCCTGGTGGTCTTCCTCTTTGTCTAATAGGATCTACTGGGGACCAGCCTCTGCTGGACCTGGACCTGGACCTAAATCCTGTGTGTCCTTCAAGAGCGATTGGTCAAATGAACGCTCCATTGATTTTAAAGGAGAACAACCCTCTCCTGCAAAGAGGTCAGCTGTTAATAACAGTAAAATATTAGTGATCCATGTTTGAACTGTTATTTATCCATATGTTAAATTCAGAGCATTTTATTTATTGATCCCTGTCAGGATGTAAAACAAGTTTCAACAAATTTAACAAAAATGCTGAAATGCATTATCTACCCAAGCTTAAAGAAAGGTTGTGTTTTGAGTGGTGGAAAGCACAGTTGTGCTCAATAGCCAGAAAAACAACCAGCAGTTTTGTCAAACACACATTTTTTCACTATGTTCTGGGTTCATTATATATTATATATAAACTGTGTGACAGGAGGAGGCTGGAAAAACCTGAACCCAGGTGTGTGTCTATGAAGAGTGACGCTACAAATGAATGCTACATTGACTTTAAAGGACGACAGCCCCCTGCTGCAAAGAGGTAAGTCAATAGTCAATAACATTAACCCCTTAACGCCTGAATTTTTTTACAATAATAAAAAAAAAGATTTGTGTTTTCATTTGCTTTCAAGCTGATTGTTAATTTGTCTTTAGAACACAGAAAATATATAAATTCAGGTATGTGTAGGTATGATGAGAAACCAGGGGTTGCAAAAGGCTCCTAGGTATGTATCGAATATGCACCAACAGGCACTGGGAGAATCAGTGTGCTATCTTGGCTTGCAGTCTGCAAGGAAGAGGTATGATAAGAATTTGCGACAATCGGTATCAAGGGGTTAATATATTACTGGTTCATGTTTTAAATATTATTTATCCAGATACATTTTATTAAAAGTGTTTATTTTCAGCATTGTTCTTCTTCACATACATTTACATCTGAAGCTGCCCTTTATAACCAGTCTTCAGTTTTAAAACATTTTCTCCATACACACGTTCAGACTGTCTGATGACTGCGTGAGTATAAAACCGTGATCTTATTGAGTCTAACAGATGGTAGCTGCTAATGAAGGCTAACACTGATTCTCTTGAGTTCCTCCATCAAATCAACTTTCCTAGATTTCAGTCATGTGACAACAGAAATAGAAACATGTCAGTGATAACAGCTGGACTGTGATCAGCTGCTCTAAAACCCAGAATAAACCATCACAGAGAGTCTGTGGAAACACAGCTGTTTTCTTATTGATGCTGCTGATGGAAGTACTCAGGTATCTCCGAGTATTTACCATCAGACGTCAGCTTAGTTTGCTTTGTTTTCCTACAACATGAAAGAACTGTTTTTACACTGACTCACTGTCAGTGCAACTGAGTGCAGTTTATGAAAAATTGTGATTTCAGAGGTGAAAAACACTGTTATGCTGGATGGCTGGACAAAACAACTAGCAAATTGTTTTGTCAAATGTCACAACACATAGTTTAACTGTGTAGTTTTTAAATGATGTTTCAAATAGTCGTGTCAGAATCTTGGTTTGAACCCAGAAGAAGACTGGAAACAGAGCTGGTGTGGTTTAGAGGATTTATTGCAAACAAAGTCTCAGATAAAGATGACAAGCAGATAGATGAGTGGGGCCAGGGGATTTGAATCCAGGCGGGTAAAGAGGCAAGAGTGTGGCTGGTGAGTGAGACTAAAATTCTTTATTAGCATTTTCAGGGCCAATGATGAGAAGCTCAGTTTTGTCTGAGTTAAGTTGAAGGTTTAGTGACATTCAGTCCTTTTATAGCAGCTAAACAGTTATGGAAAGCACCACGGTTGCTTTAATCGTCTGGTTTTACTGAAACATAAAATTGAGTGTCATTCGCTTAACAATGATAGGATATACAACCAAAGCAACTGATTATTTGGCCCAGTTGAAGCATATACAAAGAGAAAGAATAGGCCTGAGAATTGAACCTTGAGCCACTCAAGAGCTTATCAGCTGACTAATACAAAGTAATTTGGGGTCTAAAATTGTTTAGAACTGATGGATCAAGGCAGGGTCCAAGGTTAGCACTTGTCACTCACCAAATTCGAGTAAAAAACATTGATTGGTAAAATAGTTTCGGTCAGCCCCATATTTTCGTGGGAAATAGGCCTACATTGTCTTCTGTGACCGTACAAATACACTGAACAAAATTATAAAGGCAACCCTTTTGTTTTTGCCCCCATTCATCAAGATCTAAGACTTTCTCTATGTACAGAAAAGGCCTGTTTCTCTCAAATATTGTTCACAAATCTGTCAAAATCTGCGTTAGTGAGCACTTCTCCTTTGCCGAGATAATCCATCCACCTCACAGGTGTGGCATATCAAGATGCTGATCAGACAGCATAGGGATTGCACAGGTCTGCCTTAGGCTGGTCACAATACAAGGCCACTGCGAGTTCATTTTATCTTAAGTTAAATAGGCTACATCTGTGTAGCGCACAGAAGTTGCCATGGTTACTATCCATAGTGCGCCTGCCGTTTACTCGCAGAGCGCTTGTCTCCCTTTCTGTTCAGTGGAGCAAAGAGCAAACACGTGTCCGTGTTTAATCATGTCTGATGCGGAGTCTGTGATTGATTGATTAACTAGTCACTCAAACCGCCTGGCTATGAGCAAACTCCAAAAAGTGAGGGGAACAAAACACAGATTTTGAAATGTGGGGGGGGACATGTCCCCCTCATGTACTGTATAATGGCTCATACGCGTATGAGTTCTGTAAACTCTGAGTATGTTGAACCTGATGGAAGCGCATGCGTAGGGATGAAAAAAAGCCATCATCAATGGAGCTCCAATACTACAATTCACCATGGCAACGGGTAAATAAAGTCTTGTTCTTGGTCTTTCACACCCAAGTTGGAAATCACTGCAACCAATTCTCTTCGTTATAGTGTACCGAGCTCCTGGCCCGTACTCTGAATTCTTATCTGAATTTGCAGAGTTTTTGTCAACTTTAGTCCTTAAAACGGATGTTCTACCCTTAGTCAGCACTTCTATACTAGATATGATCAATCTATCTTTATCAACAGGCTATGTACCACAGTACTTTAAAGTAGCTGTAATTAAACCTCTTCTAAAAAAGCCCAAACTTGATCCGGATGTTTTAGCCAACTATAGACCTATATCTAACCTTCCATTTCTCTCTAAGGTTCTGGAGAAAGCAGTCGCTAAACAGTTGTGTGACTTTCTACAGAGCAATAGTTTATTTGAGGATTTTCAGTCAGGATTTAGAGCTCATCATAGCACAGAGACAGCACTGGTGAAAATTACTAATGACCTCCTCATTGCATCAGACAAAGGACTTGTCTCTATACTGGTTTTGTTGGATCTTAGTGCTGCATTTGATACCATTGACCATCAGATCCTATTGCAGAGACTGGAACATTTCATTGGCATTAAAGGAACCGCTCTAAGCTGGTTTAAGTCCTATTTATCAGATCGATTTCAGTTTGTACATGTTAACGATGAGTCCTCCATGCACGCCAAAGTTAGTCATGGAGTTCCTCAGGGATCTCAAGGATCTGTCCTCGGACCAATCCTCTTCACTTTATATATGCTTCCTTTAGGCAATATTATCAGGAAATATTCCATAAGCTTACATTGTTATGCAGATGATACACAGTTATATCTATCGATCAAACCAGATGAAACTCATCAGTTAGCTAAACTTCAAATGTGCCTTCAGGATGTTATAAATAATATCATATCAAGACGCACAAAAAAACCTCAAGAACCCATACCCTAAAGTCAACAGGAAGTCGGCCATTTTGAATTTTACGGCCATTTTTGGATGATTTACACACTTCGTACTTTCGTACTACAAGTTTCGCACATGGGCGTGGCAAAATGACTCGCTAGCGCCACCTAGAAAATTGGAAAAGATTAGCCCCTCGTTCACGTTCAACCTACATGTACGAAATTTTCTGGGGACATGTATCATATCAAGACGCACAAAAAAGCCTCAAGAACCCATAGCCTAAAGTCAACAGGAAGTCGGCCATTTTGAATTTTACGGCCATTTTT